CCCCAAAACCCCAAAACCCCAAAACCCCGAATTACTAAGATTGGGTTGAACCAATTGTAATAAATTCATAACTAAGAATTTGGAATTTTATCCAAAGTGCTCCTTTGAAAATTAGATTTTTACTTGGATTTAGTTGTTCTCTTCATTTTTATCTTCATTGATTTTGGCAAGATATGAAGCAGATCTCTTCTCTTCCTTCTTTGATAGGATAGACTCCTTGTTGCCAAATGCGATTCCACCATCGTCTACTTCTGCAGATCTATAGAGTCAAGGATACAACTTACATCATGTCTTCTTCGTTCATAAAAGATGAAGAAGAAGAAACATTGTAGTTTTTGCTGGGAGGTCTCTGCTGCAGCTCAATATGGACATCTTTCGCTGAGACGCTAACCTTGTATTCAGGAGAGGTGATGTTTCTCTTTTTCTGTGCTGAGTCTCCTGGACCTTGATCTTTTCTGCACAAAGTGTTTAATGGCGTGTTCTCCATTTTTGATTCCCAGCTAGGGTCAATCTGCTTAATAAGGTTCTTATCAAGCTCCGTGAGCTTATTTTCTTTAATATTTTCTATAAGTTCTATAGCAAATTTTAAATTTTAATTTACCATCTGTACCATCTTGGTACTTTGAAAGCTTTTGGTCGAAGTTTTTGGATATGTAAGGCATCACAAAGTCAAGTTTGGTCTCTGTTACTCAGCTTTCATTATTCACAGATCTCAGCCTGCTGAACTTAGATAGAATCCTTTGCCTGTCGGTGAAGAGTACATTCATAAAAATATTCAACTGATGCAAATTTAAAGCAATATTTGTTGCATCTAAGTCATGGGAATATCTCTGAAGACCTTTGTTGTATATTTTGGAGTTTATGTATCGATTCCTGCACCATTTCTTTCACTTGATCACTCAGAATAAATTATATAGGAGATCAAGGGCTGTATGAGCATACCTTCTCTTTGCTCTTAACTTCTTCCTTAGTGAATTTTCTTGCTCAGAGCTAAATATATGATTTTTGGTTGACAGGCTTGACTGAATCTTCTGGTGCCCCTCCTTCGTCCTCTTCACTGCCACCCTTCTTGTCTTCTTCAGAGAAGAATTCATCCGGGTGCGAGTTTTGATAAATATTTTCTCCTTCAACATTGATTGGTTTTTGAGAACCTTCATCTATTTTATTTAAATTTTCATCTGGATCTTCGCTGAATTCTTTTTCATCAAAAGTGTAAATTTTGGAAATTACCGAAAGTTTATAGACTCTGTCAGCATAAAAAGCAACAATTACTGCAGCCAAAGACTGAAGAAGGCTGAAAATACCTCCAATGCTAGCTAAGATGTCTGTAAGAGTGAAAACAGCTCTGGTGTATGTGTCTGATTCTGGGTCTAGGTACAAAGAAATTCTTGAATACATTCCCGACCAATCAGTATATTTATCAGATTTCTCTTCAGCAACAGCATAGAACGTTCCATCTTTCCTTCCATCAACTAAGGTGTAGTCATCCAGAGTATTAATTTTATTTTCTTTCAAGAAGATATCTGTGTTGAGAAAGGTACCTTCTTGATAAGTGTAATAGAACTTTTGAGTGAGATAATTTTTAATCGGCTCACTGAAGCTTTTCAAATCAAAGTAACTATTGATCATCAATATTTCAAAATACTGGCTATAAATATGGTCATCGATGGCAGCTTCTTCATCTCATTCTCTTTCATCTGTGTCTCATCTAGATATTTCAATTTGGATAGATTTTGAAATATCGGTATACCAGTTCCCAACGATGGAATAGTTTGTAGGCTTGATTCAAACATATTGATCAATAGAGAATTGTTTGAGCAACGTTTTATTTTGATAAGGGAAGGTATCTCCACATTTAATCAGCTCGAGCTCTGTCCAAGTCTCGTTCCATCCACCTTCTGGTTTCACAATAGAATGGTATTGGTAAGCTCTAATTTTATACATTCTCAGATATTCTTCGTCAAGAAGACTAACATTATTGAATCTGAACCCAAAGGCAATAGCAAAGCCATGCTCAGCTGGATGATGCTCTAAGTCATCTTTAGTGAGATCTCTAATGACACTATTGGTGCTATAAACTACTGTTCTTCGAGCAAACATTACTTCAACCATGTAGGCAGCATAGCCAAGAAGGACTATCAGCACGATTATATGCTGACAGATCCACCGAACATAGTCTTGAACTTGTCCTCTCCTTTATAATTGAGAGTAATACGCTTTCCGTAGAGGTCGATAGCCTTCACAACTCCCCCGATTTTCGAGCCAACGTTTCTTAGCCAACCAGCCATTTTTTAGATGCAATATAATTCAATGATTTAGCCTATATGGGGTTTTGGGGTTTTGGGGTTTTGGGGTTTTGGGG